CTTCAATTCATCATATTTTTTGTAAAAAATTCCCAAATAATCATCAAATGGCCATACTTGAGCAAAGTATGTATTGACAGCGACTACCGATGCCGCTCTAGGCCTTTTGATTTGGCCTTGACGCTGATGTTGTAGAGGTGCTTTTGAACGACATTGTGATCTTTATCGCGTTTGTGCTTAGAATGCAAAGGAATTTTTATATAAAATCTGTTCACCAATTTCAGTCGCTGAGTCTGAAGACGTCTAAAGAAGGTCCAGATCCTAAAGCAGATGCATTAATGTGCTCACAGTTACCATTAATCCCACGCAAGTGGGTAATTGGGCTTGGATCTGCTTACGCTTTATCGACTCCACAATCTCAAGGTTTGGAATCACATTTGGAAAGTGTATGCGGTATTTCTAGAGCCTTTACCCGCCAGGATAAACAATGAGCAGTTATTGAGGTGGGGTAAGATTTTGCCAGATCTCGTGCTCTTTACCTGTTTCATTTCACATCGTCAATGTGCAAACACAGGAGACCTTTTATTTTGCACTCTATGCCAAGTGTTTTTTTCCATCCTCTATGTGTCGATGCAAACACCGCCCGATTCCTTTTAGCAAAAAAAAATTGACATTTGTGGAAAAAATTGGCAGATGAAATTTTTTCATTATGATTTAGTTGCTTTGTCCGTTTCCAAGTGACTTACCTATTTAAATCTGAGAGTTTTTGGTGGGGTAGCATTAAATTTGTTCTATCCAGCAGGCATTACCATTCTCGTTGTAAAAAAAATCAAAAAAAAAACAGACCCGATAGGCATTTGCATTTCTACTGCCATTCGGAATGGCGGTGGTGATGGGTGCGTCGAGATGTGGTGGTGCTGCCAGGTGCGCATCTCCACGGATGACAAAGCTTGGCGATTTATAGTTCGCAGACCTCTTTCCATAAAAAAAGGCGCAGGATTGGTCTTATATCAATTCTGCCAATGATTTCATCCTAGTTCATCATCTTTCTGTGAAAGTTTTTCAACACACTGACCATTTGTATCGCAACTTGTTCACAAATTGAACTTGTAATTCAGGCCACTGATTGATCTCGTAATAAAACTACAAAGCGGATTAAACAAAGTCCCTACACATCGTAGATGATCGAGATTAGGATCTCAAATATTCTTATGCTCAAGCGCCTGTGCACAGATCCATTACTAATCTGTGGGCGGTGCTAATTCGGCCGAGCATACGTATGCCTGTAGGTGGAAAGCACCTGCTCCTTCGTAGAGCCCTCCATCAAGCCAACTAGTCTACTCCCTCTAAATCAGTATGCAGCCTCATGTATGTATGAGTAGTCAAGAGCCAAACATTCCTGTGCCGTTGAACTTAGGGCTCTACAAAGCAACCGAAGGTAAATCACAATTCCACAAAATAATTGTCGAAGTAGTGGCCTTTGCCTGAGTCGATAGTCATCCGTAAATACGGTGGTAAGTGAGTGGGGGGAATTGGTGAATGACGGAATGTACACGTCAGTAACATGCAAGTAGTATAAACCAGGAGTAAGTAACTACTATAATCGCTGTCACTTAAAGCCTTACAGACAATTCATTTGGTATTAGATGTGGACGAAAAGTACCTGGATGATAAACCGAAAAGTGGAATGAGTGGTCAATTAGTAAATTTGCATTCTTGTTCTCACATATACACAGTTTCAGTTTACTAAGTTAAGCTGACGCGATATTAAGTCGGAAGAGTAGAATAGATAAAAGGGTGAATTATGACAAGTTTTAACGTGAATTATTGCCAGGTTGTTCAAGAAGATACTGCAACACTCAACTAGGTGACAGGGCGGTATGTGATGGAGGACATAACGCAGAAATCATAGCTTATTCAAATTAAAAGAGATGATGAGTTTTAAGCCTAGCATCACAACCATCTGCATTTGGCATACCCTGAGGAACCAACACCTCAACACGGTACACTTTCGATGGCTATTCTGCCTCCATTTGCACACTCTGGTCCATAATACATCAAGGAAGAAGATGCCAGATTGAATCGTCTTGTGCATTATGACTGTGGCTGTAGAACGGAATGATTGGAAACTGATTGTAGAAAGTACCGCTGTTGTCTTTTAGAGCAGGGGTGTTGGAGATGTCCACGATTTCAGAGTAACGTTACATTCCAATTCTTTAGGGATCGGCATTCTTGCGGATAATGTGTGGAAGAGTCTAGACATCCAGCTCTCATACACTCCCTCCCAACTAATTGAGTTCACGTATGTGTCCAGTTCGTGGACGATTACCTAAAGGACAAGGCAAATTACTTACTGTAATAACGCGTGACGAA